GATGATGATCAGAAAAATAATATTTCCTACATTATGTTGGAAGATAAAGAACCTGCCAGTGACTGCAGAAACTGTGCAGTAATTCAGTAAAGGACTGCATGGCAGGTTGCCTGAATTGATTATTAGTCAAAAGTTTTTTAGAATTAATCTGATGCCTCATGAAATTAATGAGAAGAGAGATGTGGTATGGCTATAGCTTGGTATAGTATCACCTAAGGAGGCTGTGATAACTAACAACCAAGGAGTCTCTGAAGAGCATATTATTCCCTAAGGTAAAGAACACTAAGAAAGTGGTATATAACCAAGATTTATATGATGTCACTGAGAAAAGGTCAGTTTGGTAAAGGTCAAATATATTTGCCTTAGAAAAGTGGCATAGAAAGCCTAATCACTTAGAATATATTAAGCTGATCTACAAAGATCATTTGAAACCCACCTAGAGGGAATTATCTCAAGGTATCACAGTTGAAAATGTCATAAACAGGTTATAATCCCCATTTAATTATAAAACATTTAAAATCCAGAGGATTTTTCCTAAAATCACCCCAAATGGACACCTTCCTCTAGTTTCATTTATTGTAATAAAATGGATAGCAACTAACCAGTCTCCTGTTGTTCATTTTTTATTGTTTGAGTCCGACAATTTAATGCCTCTTGGTAGACTCTGTACTTCTTACTATTCATTTCATTTTACTCAAAGCTAGCCTCTGAACACTCTTAGATGTTTAAATTGGACTAGCAAGATTCACATTGTCAGTTTTCGGAACTGGATTGGCAAATAACATTGCATTTCTGAAAGAGATGCAAACTGAAATGCTCAGTAGTATTGAGATGGTGATGATAATTATAATAATGATTATTTTTTATCACCAGAGTAATTTTTAAAATAAATGTGCATTGTGCTTTGGAACTCATGGCTATGGATAAGGATATGGAGCCTCGGTGGCACAGTGGTTAGAGTGCAGTACTGCAAGCTATTCCTACTGCAATTTGGCAGATCAAATCCCACCAGGCTCAAGGTTGACTCAGCCTTCCATCCTTCCAAGGTGGGTAAAATGAGGAGCCGAATTGTTGGGGGCAATATGCTGACTCTGTAAACTGCTTTGAGAGGGCTGTAAAGCACTATAAAGCGGTATATAAGTCTAAGTGCTATTGCTATGTCTTTATTCAAGGCTAGCCTAGTGCTATCAACAGTGACTCGGAGTAGCTACCCAGGATTTGAGCTAAATTTCTTAAGCCTTATTATAAGAATGCAGGGATTGAATCTGTAAACTTGTAAGAATAAAACTTTAAATTTAATGGAAAATCTTTATGAAACAGATATCATTGGGATTACATTGCAAATATCTGTGGCTTTTTTCAGTTCAACATAAGGACCAATGGATGGAATTATTTTTTGCCTATTACTGAATTTGTATTTACATGCTTTCAAACTGCTAGATTGGCAGGACTAGAACAAATAACAGGAGCTCACCTGCCTCACAGCACTTGGATGTCAAGCTGCCTAGATGTAGGCTTTAATTTTTTGTAAACATTCAGGAAGGCAACAACATTCCATGCTTTTCCATACAATCTGTGCTGTGGTGTAATGTCATATTGGCTGCATGACTACCATAACATCTCCAGACAAATCTGGCTCTTAGGCTTAAGAAACGGAGATGGGGCCGCCCCTAAAGTCAGTCACAACTAGTGGAATAAAACATGCAGGATGACCTTCACCAGTGGTGGAATTTAAATTTTTTTACTACCGGTTCTGTGGACCTTGATGGGCATGGCAGGAGAAGGTTACTGCAAAATCCCCATTTCCTCCCCACCCCACTAACCTGCTTTCCAGCTCCGTTCTCCTGGGCAGGGCAACCAAAGAAGACCCAGCCAATCAGCTGTGATTCAATGGGAGGCAGAGAAGGGATAGGGTTGGCATGGCCAGAGGTGGGATTTGCCAGTTCTCCAAACTACTCAAAGTTTCCACTACCAGTTCTCCAGAACTGGTCAGAACCTGCTGAATATCACCTCTGACCTTCACCTACACCTTTACCTTTAACTGAATTTGTAAGGATGCCTGATGCTCAAATGGCTCAAGGCAGTATCTAAGAAAAGTTAAAACTACACTACAGGTTAACCTCAGTTAATGATGGTATTTGGGACTGTTGCTAAGCAACATAAAGCCCAATTTCATGTGACCACACAAACTTACAATGGCAGTTCTAGCAGTTCCAGTTGTGGTGGTTAAGCAAGTCCTGTGTGGTTTTTAAGAGCAATGTTATGTGATTGTCATTTGCAGCCTCCTGCCAGCTACCCATTAACATTACTTGTTGAAAGCCAGCAGCAGTAAAGGTTACAAATGGTGCTCACATGACCACATGACTCTGTGACTGTTGTAATGGTGAGCTGGTTGCCAAGCAACCAAACTGCAATCACTGCAGGGATGCTGTAATGGTCAAAACTTGAGGAGCAGCCATGAGTTTCCTCATTCAGCACTATCATAATTTTAAACAACTGCTGAACAAATGATCATTAACAAAGGCTACTTTTAGAAGATAAATGAAATAGAAGTACAGTAGATAATAGTCATACAGAGAATACAACAATTAAAACACTCCTAGCATTTTAGTGGGTTCACAAAACTCCATAACCCAGAACTTGCTGCAAGAGGATTGCAATATCATAGACCTCAAGAAGAAGCTGTTACAGAAAGTATAGCACCAAGAGAGAAAGCACGCTTACAGGGTTGCATAAGATGACATTTTTCAGTGTTATAGAAGTAAATGAAATGGAAATTTCAAAGACATTCTTGTTTTATCCATTCCCAGTTTATATGGTCCAATAGGGTTGAACTAGGAAACCTCCAAAGTGCCTTCCAACTCTATTATTCTGTTATTCTATTATTCTATGTTAGTCATATTGTATCTTTCAAAGATTGAAGGACAAGATGAACAAATATATCAAACATATAGCCTATATTGATCAATATGAATTTTCTCATAACATCAATTAAATTGCATATTTAGTACTTCTCTAATACCTGAGTATTTTGTTTCACAAAGGTAGGTGTGAAAATAAAGCATATGCTAGGTCCTGAAATAACTGCACCACTTAGTAGGTGTATTCCTTTATTTTTTTAAGAACAGAATAATTAAATGAAAGCAATCTTATGTCAAATGTATCATTTCCAGAGGGATACCGCAATAACTATCCATTGACAATAGGAGAGTGGTTTTAGATAATAGATAATCCTTCTATCTATCTCATGTTACAAGCTTTTTCCAAACTTCAATGATTATTTCTGTCCTCCTTTTGATCTCCTGAGCTCATTAGGTAATTTAAATGCACATTAAATTACCAAGAACTCATCATAATATTCAGAGAAGGATAAAATCCCATGGAGAGATAAGTTCATATCTGCTTAGTATTCTGAGAGAAATGGTTTATATTATTTCCTATAAGAATTCAGCTATCAAAGTTCTCAAGTGTCTTGTAAAGTTGATGCCCCATACAGTGGTGTGTAATATAAATACTTTTAAAACAAACATCATTAATAAATGTATGTCTGATCAGAGACCAATGCTCCAAACAAATGAGGGTGATTAATTAAAAGCTATTCCAAAACCATTACATCAACTGCTACATGAAACTGTAGCAATTCTTCATGATTTTTCAGTTTAACAGTTTTCAGGTAGAAATGTTTTCTTTATCAGAACTTCATAAATGGTTAATTGAGAGAGACATTAATAAATCAAGGATTTAATCTTGGATAGAGTAGGAGAAGTTACAGAATCTGAAGGCATAGTTAGAAGAGGGATCAACCTAGAATCCCTATGTAGTCATAAACAACTAAATCCAATCTCCCTTAAATTCCATTGGACCTTATCTAATCCCAGGCAGATGTTAACCATTACTTAAGATGATTCTTTGCATAAGTATAATTAGCAATAAATCAGTTTAATTGGACCTTCATGTGTGATCTTTTATACCTGACAGGCAGGACATGGGAAATTAATTCAGTTGCCACTATAGAAATGGAGAAACATCTTTTAAGTAAGGAGTTATTGTCTCTCTTTCATTTCCCTTCTAGCACTATGGAAGATCAAGCATTTTGTCCAGCTAGAAAAAAAGGCTTTTATGTTCAGGATGGACAATTTATAAGTAAGACACTTAGCATGAATGAAGTATCTTCTGAGCAAGCAACCTTTATAATAAGGAGAGAAAAATTCTCCATTTTTTCTTAAGGTCAAAGTTATATTGTTTTAGTTCTAAATTGGATCTTTTAAAATCTGATGAAATTAAATAATGGACCGAGAGGCCATGACATTTGAAGCTTTCATCCATCACTAATTTCTAGGAGAATATAGAATTGCCCTCAAGAATTAAGGAGGGCAGAAATCATTCCATAAGGTCAATTTTAGCCAAAACTTTAGATCACAATCTCAAGCAAGCCTTAATAGAAACTAATACAAATTCTACTACAATATTAGGGGCCTTGCAAACCACTAACGCTATAAGCATATAGGAAGAAAGTATATCTTCCACTAATTCTGTTGGTGACATTATTATGTCCTGCAATAATAACATGGTTACATTAGATGTGAGGTCAGGGCCAAGTTGGCATTGGGATAGGCTGCATAATTTGGTTTCTCCCTCTGTAATACAGAGTCATCATCTTGTTGCTTGTTAGTATTGTTAGCAAATCTGATGGGTATTTGTAAGCATGTAGAAGGGCAAAGGTCTCTGAAACAAAATATCAATGCACAGAATAGGATATTAGAACTGATAATGAGTTTGAGTGATTTTATCTCAGAACTTTTTTTCTTAAATTATAACACCTACTAATTACATTAGTTAATTAAGTTAACACATCAAAAAGGCTACAGAAATAAACAATTACAAAACAGAAAAAAATTGGACATAATTTCTGCATTTTGGCTTGGTTTTCATCTATTTCCTTTTATAGCTCTTCTTATACACTGAAGACTAGTAAGCTCAGCTTTTTTCTCTTTTCACAGGCAGAGAATTTGAAGGTGAAGAAGAGTTCCTGGAGATCCTGGGAATAACACGAGAGCAGTCAGGCAAATATGAGTGCAAAGCTGCAAATGAGGTTTCCACAGCTGATGTGAAGCAAGTCCGAGTCACTGTGAATTGTGAGTATTTTTATTTCCATCAAATCAGACATATTAAAAAAGGAAAGTTGAACTCTGTGTATTATAGTGATGACAATCAATGAAAAACTCTTATGACAGAGGAAACATCATCTGGACAGTCCAGTTGGGGCTATTAGTGAACCATGTACAGAAAATCTCTCTTTAAAAAAAAGCATTTGGCCAATGAAGAAAAAAAAAAAATCTGAAAAAAAAGACCAGCAAGCGAATCTGAAAGAAAGTGATTCCTGTAACTCAATGGACACCATATGAATTAAATGCAGAGCAAGGAAAAACCAAAAGAGCACTAACACTCGTACATTCTCTGCTAACTCTTAAGCAAAACTTTCAAAGGGAAAAAAAGCTATTAAGAAAAGCCCTAACTGGGAGCATCACTGTAGATGTTAAATCTACCTCAAAATATGTATTGACAATGATATTTAAGATAGGATTTTTTTTAAAAAAATGAGCAAAGATAGTGTTTTCTCGAAGAAACTATTTATCAGAAATAAGGTATAAACTAATTAGTAAATACTATATTAGGAAAATATAAATAGGGAACTCATACTGTAATCTCTTTAGCTATCCAAAAGAGGCAGCTTTTTCTTTGTTTGAATGTGGCTTAGATAAATCTGTTGAGCAATTACTTTAAATCCTTGATTTAGAAATGTGTTTGTGAATTGTCTGTGCATTTAGAATCTTTTAATCTCATTTTTGCCTCTTTTAATTTATAATACATTAGCATTTTCATAAAATGAAATTACTATTTTGGGCCTTGGAGAATTATTTAAATATAAATGCTATGGAGAAGACATATAACCTTAGGCACTTAAATTTAAATGGATGTTTTTCTTTCAGATCTGACAAAATGTAACCAACTGTTTTGCAAGAAAAAGAATGTTTGCTGTTGTGATTGTTGTAGTTTAAATTAACTAAATTACTAGATATGATTTGCCCAAGCAATACAAAATGGGGCTTTTTCAAAGGGTTATGTTAAAATGTTAAACATCAGAACTCAAGACAGCCAAAAAAAATGTGGACAAAAATCTATTTCACCCACTGCCAGTCTCTATTCTGAAAAGCTAAAGAAGCAGCTCTGGTCAGGAAATAAATACCATAGGATAATTCTTTTGTAGAAACCAGCCCCAGGCCAAAGCTGCCATTCCCAGAGGGCCATTCCCAGTCATCAGAAGAAATGGAATAAAGCCTATAGTGGTTTAAACTTAAGTTTAAACTAAGAGAAGCTAGACAGATTCCAATTTCTGACCATGTCAGCAAAAAATTCATTGGTGAAGTAGCCTGGGAGAAAAAGTAAAACTTATTTTCAAGGTGGAACAAGATAAGGATGACCAGTCTGCCTCAGCTACACTCTGAGGACATAGGAGAAAAATGGTATAATGGGTCATATTTATGTCATGTTAGAGGACCATGAGGATGATCCCATATTATGACAAAATAACAGAAGACTCAAACTTAAATTACATACTTAGTTTAAATTCTTGGCTAATTTGTGAAATTGCTTACTGTCCAATATATTATTCCAGCTTCTTTCCCAACTATTTCCTCATTTTAAAAACACAAATTATTTTGAAAAAAATATTAAATTACAATTTTTAAAAGACAATTAATGTAGCAAATTCACTAGTTTAGCAAGATCATTTCTAGTAAAAAGTAAGACCATCACCAGCTAAGGATACTTTACACAGAGATCATTTACATTCAATTTATCTCAGAATAATTCCCTTTTAATTTCTAAATACTGTTGCTCAATGTTTCTTATCCAATCTGCATATCTATAGAAAACCAAGGAAAAAGTGCAGATATTAATATCTAAGAAATATATAAATAAATCTCATCTCTGCCCTGTCTCCTAATGTTGGTTTCACAATAAGAAAAAAAGTGATTTGTTACTGGACAGGTCCACTCCTGATTAGCCAAAAAGATTAGTGCAATTCTGCAATTTGCACAACGCTTCCTTGACTTTGGTGGAGAGAAAGGAAAACTGAGGAACTGGCATGAGGACTGAGATGGAAATTTACACCAGTGGAAATTATCTGCTGTAAACCCTCAACCATATTGTTGCAGAAGGTTGTTTTTTTTCTGAACTTGAAGTTAATTGCATTCAATTATAGAAGAAGTGAAGACGCTTGATAGTGTTGTAAAAACACAAAGATATTCTCAGATCTGATGCAGAAGTGGCCAAATACTCAGTATAGAAGCTAAAGGATAAAAAAACCATATTAATTATAGTTCTTGGCTGAGCTATGGGGCAATACAACAACTTAAGGCTCTTTTTTAACTAACAACTCAATCTAGATGTAAAAGTGACACAGCTGAGTCATAGTCAACTATAATGTGCATATATGTATGTGTACATCTGTTTGATTTGAATATATTATTCTTTTTATAAGGCTATAGCAGATGTAAATTGTTAAGCCCTTTGTGTTACATTCAGAGATCTGCCTGAATCAGAGGATTGGGCTGCTAGAAGATGACCTTCCTATTCAATGCTTTCTTCAGCAGCCAAAAGCACCTTGTAAAAAATCTACAGGATCAGGGACCCTGTTGAATAAGGAAGAGGCAGCAGGTGGTGATCATAGATAATTAGGCAGACGAGCATCTGTGGAAGTTATTTTCATACAAGCTGCTTCCTAGATTCAGTTAAGGTTAGATCTCTTAATTTTAACACATTGTATATTAGAAAAGCATGGTATCAGTAGTTCTACTTTTGATCCTTAACTTCATCATATGTAATTTGTGCTGAAGTCACACAATCAGAGACTTCAAAAGTATTAAATCACCAAAGTCAACCCTCCATTTGTGCAAAAGTACAAATTAAAGCATTCCAAGCCAAAAAAAAGCTATCACCAGCTTGTGATTGAAGACAGCTGGCAAAGGGCATCTCACTGTCATCCAAGTAATTGATTCCATTGTCAAATTGTTTTACTGTTAGAAAGTTTTTCATAACATTCAACCGACATTTGCATTTATGCCATTATCCCGTGTCCAGTATTCTGTGATGACAAAATATATAAGGCCTTTAGTCTGAATCCTTTCGAGTGCTTGAGGAATACTATCGTAAACCAAATCAGTGTAATTTTTTTCCAAGTCTCCATGATATCTTTGTGTAAGACTTAATTTACCGTCCCTTGATCACTGTCATGCCATTCTTTGGATTTGTTCCAGTTTGAATCTTCCTGAAAGTCTGATATCTAAGACTAGGCACAGGTAGTTCTCAACTTGCAGCCATAATTGAGCCCAGAATTACAGTCGTAAGTCAAGCTGGTTGTTGGGTGGGTCATCAGATGACCATGCCTGATTTTACAGCTTGTTTGCAGTGATTGTTATGCAAATCACCATGGTTATTAAGCAAACACCATGGTTGTTTAGTGAACCCATTGTCCACAATAGATGGGGATTTTTTTGCCAGACATTAGAAATAATGGCAAAAAGAAAGTCATAATTCATAGTCACATGGCTGTGAGACATTGCAGCCATAAATGTGTGCTGGTTACTAGGTACCCAAAATGTCATCACATGATCTGGCGGAGATTGGACTGCCATTTGTCAGAAATGGTATAGGGTCTCCCACTTAGGTGGGGGTTGGACTAGATGACCTACAAGGTCCCTTCCAACTCTGATTATCTGTTATCTGGTTGTCAGAACTTTGAATCTGGACTGTAAGATTTGGGGTGTTGTTGTTTTATTTGTTTTGTTTTTGTTTTGGTAACTTCAGTTGCTAACAAGTTGTAAGTCAAGAACTATTTGTAAAGAATTCAGTAGTCTCGCCAATAGTTCTAACTAGGCTTAGAAGAATTAATATTTTTTTGAAAAACAAACAAGGCCAATGTGTTTGTAAGACTAAATATAAGATCAAATCTGACTGGGAATCATGGTATTTATTCCAGATTGTTCCAACCTGGTGCCTTCCTGATATAGTGAACTTCAAATACCAGAGCCAGCAATTAACATGTTAAATGCTTACTCATGGGGATTATGGAAATTGATGCACATTTGAAGTGCATCAAACTAGATTGTAGCAGATTGTTGTGATCCTCTGATTCAAAAGCTCTTTTCCAGAAGCCTCTTCATCTTCTAGTCCTCTATTGCTTTGGAATGGTAGCTTGTAGTTCTTTCTGCCATCAGTTATCTTCCAGAAAGCACCTTTAATTGGCATCCATTAATCCTGGTGTGTGAGAGATAGGGTTCATTTGGGGTAGTTAAAAGATCAAAATACAAATGTAGAAACTAACTGAAAAGCTACTTGCTGACTGGACTGTAAGCATGAGAGAGAGATTCAATCTTCTCTCTCCATGCCTTTGAGTGATCAAACTAATCAGAGGAAATAAGCAAAAACTTAATTTTAAAAAATATGTAAATCCCCCTTTTAACATAATATATCAAAATGAAATAGTGGATGTGGAAAAAATAAATCTCAGACAAATCCCAAGGGAGGGCTACTCTGTAACAAACAATGCTCTTTCTGACAGAATCTCTGACAAAATGCTGGAGAGGTTTCACTGTATTATTATATATCACAAGAGATTCTAAAGAAAAACAGAGCTTTTGAAAACAGCCTTAAGGATGAAGAAAGGCTAAAATTATACCCAATTCCCTAACTAGGGCAGAAAAAAAAACCACAGGCCTTAGCACAATGCTAAAAATTGAAATAAAAATCCCAGATAGACTTTTTGGCTATTTCCACAGATACAGACGGTTTCTGAAGAAAAGTTCTTATTTGTTGGATTTAGTTGTTTCCTGTTTGATTCAAATTGTTAACTTCTATTGGGGAGTTGAAAAATGTTGCTCTTATATCCTATGATCTTAAAGAACCAAACTGTTTTTTTTCCTCTTAGTCTCCAGGAGAGGGAGGGGCTTTATATAATCATTCTGACTTGAATTGTCCCATGAGAAAGTAAAGTATGTGAAGAAGGAAAATAAAGTATACTGTAGATATTATGATGTGAAGTAAAATTGGTTTTATTTACTTTTCTGTCAGAATGTCGCTTTGAACATGATTTTGATTCATTAGAATTTATATATGTGATTATGTATGCAATAGATATTTTCTGCCTGAGAAATTGCACTTTTTTTACCAGTGTTTTCATTTTAAACATACTTATTAAAAAATTAAAACCCACAAGAGTGCAAGGACTGTAATTTGAAACAATATTAAACAATATTAAATCATAAACATTTTGATTGTAACTATAAGCCAGGTACAAAGAGACCCTATATTTTGAAAGCAAGTAGTTTTCTAATAATGTTTTTTTTCCTTCTTTAGTTTATGAATATGTTAATTTCTTCTTAGAAGAAAAATGGTGATATTAATATTTTTCAGAGTTTTGTAAATATTTTTATTTTATTTTCAATGATATAATGTTCTCAGTTCAATACAATCAATTCATACATTATTTGATATTGTAATTTAATTTTTATTACTGTAAGCTCTCTGCTTACTGTTATTGTATCATTTTATTCCTTGCTTTTCTTTTCACCTTTTTGTTGTAATTATTTAAAATATTTTAATAAATGGTGAAAAAATGGAAAGGGAAGAAACAGCATATACTTAGAATTATTTTATTATTATTGGTATTCTGAATCACATAACAAACTCCTAATCATAGCAATCATAAAAATAAAAAGTTACCTTTCTACCTTGATTTCATTTCCACTGGATTTCAAATAGAAATTATTTATATTCCCACAAAAATTAGAGTGAAATCAACTAAAGGCTGAAACAAACATCTACTGTATGTAAACCTGAATGGAATTGCAATATAAACTATTGTAGCCTTCCTCCAATAACTTATCTGGATTGTTGATTATGTTAGTTGATTTTTTTTCTCAACCAACATATGACTTTTATAGATTATAGAGGAAAGACAAGGTAAAGAAAGTATCTCAGTAATTTAATATGAAATGCTGAAATTGCTGTCTTCTGTGTTCAGATTTTCTTCTGTGTTCAGACTTTCTTCTGTGCAAAATTACTGTTTGTGATGTTTTGAAGGTTGGGTTTTTTTCCCCTTATAGTATTAAATACTTCAATTGGGCAATAAAACTGTTTTTTTTAAAAATCCATCCTATATGGAAACATAGTTAGGCTTCTATTGTGGGAGATATGAAAGCAGCAAGGATCTTGTTTTAAGATTACAATATATATATTAAGCTTTGTTCAGGTATTTTCCCACGTCATTATAGTTGTGCTTTTAAAGTTGTAGCAACGTTTCGGCAGAATCTCATCTGCCATCATCAGGCTTGTGTATACACAATACATGTGGGAAAATAGGTGAACAAAGCTGAATACCATACATATAAATACCCGCGAAAACTTAAGAAAACAAATGGCATATGGCATTCAGCTTTGTTCGCATATTTTCCCAAGTCGTCATAGGTTTTTTTTCAGACCTGAAAGTATGAATAGAAGAGATGACTCCACCAGACTGTCAATTATCTGGAAGCCTGCACTCACAAACAAAAAAATCTCCACACCACAAGCCAAGCAAACATCTGGACACAAACAGATTCCCCCTGATACCTCCAACACAAACACACCCCAACCAGGCACCCAGATGAAACCTAGCTTCCTAATAAATGATAGCTGTCTGTTTACTCGGAGCCAAGCCGCACTAAAAGCCTCCAATACAGGAAACACAATGTTGCCAGCCGATCAAGACAAAAAAAGCCACAAAACAGACAGAAGATATTAGAAACACCAATCAAGCAGAACACAGCAAACTCCAAGACCAATAAACATAGACCAAGACTCCCAACCAATCAGGATGAAGAAAAAACTTTTCTAACACAGCAGTAGGCTAGCACCAAATTTAAAACAGAAAAGGCTGTGAAAGTCTGACTCACAGACAAGCAGACTAAAATATACACATTTAAGCTCACGCTAAAGGCCTTTGTTTATTTGAGCTATCGTTGCACATTTTATTTAACAGTAGCTAGAAATAAAAATGCACAATGCTAACATAACACTTCAAATTGCAAATCTAGCACTTAATGATTTTCTATGAGGTTGATGAAGCTGTGGATCCTAATAACCTGTGAAAAAATGTTAAAAATTAGTTCTTCTTCCCGAGGAGCTACCTTTGATTTAATTGAAATTTTCTTTCACTGCCTAAAATTACTCTGGCCAATTCTACCCAAGTCCATCATATTATTCACTAGTATAGGCCATGGTGTAATTTCAGAAGTGTTGAAAGTATAAATTCAAAATTAATGTGGGAACTATCTGTATGCCTGAAAGTTGGGATGGGATCATAGTATGTATGCAGAGGATGGCTTAAATTGACAATTTGCACTGGGTCTAAATATGTGCAATCACAAAAGGCATAGTTTGCTTCATCAATTGTGCATAATCTTTTATTCTTTCAGTTTGGGTTTGATATCTTTATCCTTGATTTGTTAATTCTAGTTGCTGTTTTTTCTTTTAAAACATATAGAAGCAAGAGGCAAATTATGGGATCTAATTATGTAGAAGCCATTAGAGAAGTTCATCCTTCAGGTTTTCAGTAAGAAAGAGCCATAGCTCAGTGAATAAGCATACACATTTTACCAGCAGATGATCCCAGGTTCCGTCCATACATTTCTAGTTAAAAGGATCCAAATGTAGGTGGTTTTAGAAATGGCATTCAATGCTGGGATAATATGATAAAACACTCTTTATTGCATAAAATGACTAACAGTCCAAATCTATATGCTACCACTATAAAAGCAGCATTAGGAACTTTGGTGGCACAGTGGTTAGAGTGCTGAGTCAGCCTCCCATTCTTCTGAGGTGGTAAAATAAGAACCCAAATTGTTGGGGGCAATATGCTGATGCTATAAACCACTTAGAGGGGGCTGTAAAAGCACTATAAAGCGGTATATAAGTTTAAGTGCTATTGCTATTGCTATTTCATATAAGACAAATCACTTTGGGATTTGCCTTTTCTCCCTTACGCATCTTTTTCATCTTTATATTCTTTACTACTATTACAACCCACACTATTTTTTAATGAAATGCAATGCATCCCACAAGATTTTGATGATTTCATTCACAAAATGTGTGTATAGGCTTATAGTCTGGGAACCATTTAGTGCCTCATTTCCAAACCAAGATTGACATGTAAGGTGCTGTACCTGGAACTCATAATGTAACATATATTTTATTTTTTGTCCTTTCTACACACTAAATATTACTTTTAGACTGAATTAATACAGTGATTTCTCAGGAAAAGGAATCAGGTTATTCTTTTGAATATGTTGTCCTTTAATTCTGTAGATATATCAGTATCTACAGTATCTTATCAAGCATCCAGAATGTCTTTTTTTAAGTATTGGAAATATGGCTAATATAAAGAATGCAGCTGAAAGTAAGGGAATTGGCTTCTTAGCAGAATTCAGAAATGTAGGTGGTCCTGAATTCTGTTTAGCTTTCAGAACTGCATAAAAATATTTGCTCATTTTGTGATTTATTTCCTACATTAGGTCCAGTCAGGGGCGGGATTCAAAAATTTTAGCAATGGGTTCTCTGCCCGGTTGCTGGGTGGGCATGGTGATGGCGGGTGTGTCCTAGTCAGCCTCCTACACCATGGTGGGAGGGTGTTTTTGCCCTCTCCGGGCTCTGGAAATTTTCCACGAGCCTCTGGGAGGGTAAAAACTGCTTCCTGGGGCTCCAAATGCTCTCTGGAAGCTGGAAATGGGCCCATTTCCAGCCTTCCTGAACTTCCAGAAGGCCTGTTTTTTGCCCTCCTGAGAGTCTGTACACGCCCTGGACTTACCTGAATCCAAAATAGGCCACATGGAGACTCCTGGGAGGGGTGGGGTGGGGCCAGCCAGGAGTGGGATTTGGGGGTTCTCCAAACTGCACATAATCTTAGTTAGGGAATTTAGGAAATGTTTTCAATAGTTATAGTGAAAAGACTACTAGATTTAAACAATATTTCTATTCATATCAAATATGCTATAAAGCCTTCCTCTAATATTTATCAGAACAGCTTTAAGGATAAATTACAATGAAAGATAACAACTGATCTAAAATCATCCATGACTCGGGGATAGTTAATCTGCATCTTCCAGGTTCTGGTTTAACACAAATGTTCATATATTTATATAAATGTTCATATATAAGTCCATTCTTCCATAAGAATTTACAGGATTGCTTAAGGAAAAATGGGGAATATTTTATTATATGCCTGACATCAATATACATAATGACATAAAATAAAGAGTAAATTTTAGAGCAAATTGTTCTACCCTGAATTTTTTTATGTATGTTCGATAATTGCTGCTTTTTTCCTACTGGCTTCACTATTTCCTTCCCATAATAGTTTTTTTAATAGTTTTCATTACATTCTGATGCTTACAAATCATAACTAAGCCTGAAGATATGCAAATTTGAATGGCTGCACTCCTTGCGTAGTGGCTCCAAGTAGGCACACATTGATAGCAGTGATATGAGCCAGTCTTTCTCTCCTGCAGACCCGCCAACTATCACGGAATCCAAGAGCAATGTATCTGCTACAGGGCGGCCAGTTTCACTTAAGTGTGCAGCCTCTGCTGTGCCTACGCCTGATTTTGAATGGTACAGAGATGACACTAGGTAATTATGCTATTTATCTTCTTTCTCTTGTCCCTGATTTCTAGCTTAAAAATGTTCTCTTTATACTCAATGCTCACTTTCCAAAAGTTCCATCACTCATCTTCTTTTTTTCTTTCAACATTCCACCCACTAGCCGTATGACCACAAGTTAGCAACAAACACAGGTATAGTATCTATATAATATCAGTTGTGCTTTGAAAACAAGCCCCACACTTATTTGAAGGGAGTGCTAGGCCCTAAATGAAGTTTGCAGTATAGTTTTGCAGGATGTAAATGAGAAAGGTCTATCTGAATTGTGTCTAAGTTCTGATACAATAAGATGGTTAATTTTTAAAATGCCACAAGATTTTTTGTTGTGTTTGCTGAAAAAGACTAGCATAGCTATTATCTCAGCTAGAAAAATAGTGAATTATGGGGCAGGAATTGAAAAAGAAGAGAGGTAAAGTGATGTAAAAGGCAAATCTTACCACATTATTTATGAATTAATGAAAAAGATAATTAAAAAAACCCAAGAGTAAACATGTAGGTTAAAAAATTATGTAACTTTCATAGTTTTTTCCCTTCCGTTCTCATGTATTCCCCTGTCTGTATCAAAGTACCCTTCTCATTTCATATCTGTCTGCAGTCTGCACTGAAATTTTAAATCCTCATACTTACCATATACAAAGAATGCAAAGTATTACTATATTTACCATTAACTTTTCTTGATTCTCAGGATAAATAGTGCCAATGGTCTGGAGATCAGGAGCATAGGAAGCCAGTCCTTCCTGACAGTGACCAATGTCACTGAAGAACATTATGGCAACTATACCTGTGTCGCTACCAACAAACTTGGAATCACAAATGCTAGCCTATTTCTTTACAGTAAGTATGGAAGTGAAAAGAAAATATATGAGTGAGTTTCACTTGTTTTAGTGAAAAGGATGCTCTGTAGATAGGGCAGTCCTGCATCCTAAAATGAATTCAGCAAAAGAAAAGAGAAGAGAAAGAGAAAACATCCTTCTACTCCATCCTCATATCCATAGAAAAATAAATAGGTAGATCTCCTTCTTTAAAGTCAGGGGCTTACTTCCAAGTACCATTGCTTAGATTTTCAATATAAATTAACTTAGTTTCCAAGACAATAAATCCAGTTTCATTTGGTAATAATACTATTAAGTGGTATTATTCATAATTATATCCCAGCTTTAAACTAAAATTAGTGTGATTGAAAGCCATCATCAAGATATATAGCATTGATATTAGAAAGGGGCTAACAAAGTACAATTATTGTTTGAATTATTGATGAAATGTAATTTGGCAACATGGAGAAAGAAATGCAAATTGAAATAAGGACAGAAAAGAAAGAGTTTTCTTTCAAGGCAACTCAAAAGAAGTCATAGATCAAAGTCTAATAAAGGAATGTTGCTTGGGTTTAAAGGTTGTTTTTATGAGCCGTGAAAAATGATGAATATAGTCCATTTGAAAAAAAAGGAGAGAGAGAGAGAGAGTCAATCTCAACCACAGCTAGATGCATATTTTTATAAAACATATATAATGTTTGACATGGTCCTGAGACTCACTTTCCATCATTCCCAAATATAAATCATTAATACAAATTTCTGTTTGCATTGCAAAACAAAGATAATTCTGTAACCTTAATTGTAGGCATTTTGAATGTGGGGGAAAAATGTGAAAATAATGCAAATGCTGCTGTTTGGTGTAGGTTTACATTTTTCAACTTAACTTTTTTGTTAAGAAAATAATCAAGCCGAGAAACAGGTGCAAATATATCTATTTAAGCATATATGCATGCATGCATTTTCTGGGCTCCAATTTATCTTTTCTTAATCTTTGATAAAAATAGAATATAAAAAATCAAGTTATTTCTTAACTCAGCAAGGTCTTTTAATAGTCTTTTCTTAGAAACATAATCAAGAAAGACAACTATACGATTAGGCAGCTGGGAAGATAGAGATTCTTGTAGAAAATTTACCCTTCAGTAAAAATACCCCTTAACTTACGTAAACCCTTAAGAATACATTGTTCAAAAAGATCTAATTCTAAATCTAATTCTGATGACAGACAATATTTGAAACTATGATTCATTGTTGAATGGGGTCCAACATTTTCTTGACCATTGTGGTAGACCAACTAATTTAAACTTCAAGTCAGACTAAAATATATTATTTCATTCTGTGTTTTATCTTGGAGATCTGTAATGAATTATAGTTCTTTGGACTTTTTTTCATCAGTTTTCAAGGTCTTTATCCAGTTAACACAAACCTTTGTTTTGCCTTTTATTCTCTGACTTCAGAACTTATAGCTTTTGAAAAATATAAACCAATAATATGGCTAAGAACAGATGAGCACTGTTGATAAATAGCTAGGTAAATGGAACTATAAGGCAAAGATGTTCTTAAGAAGTTCATTGGTAAATGTGCCTCAAAAAGCAGATTTGGAAGCACAGTACATGGGAGCAGAGACTCAATCAGTCATGCTTCCTTACATCCACAAATACTACAATTATTACTCACAAGGTCAAAGAAATAAACCAAAAGCAACTGCTGTTCAGATCATCCTTGAAATTTGCTGCAGTTTTGTTTGACTTTACTTGTCTCAAATGTATCACAGGAAGAAGTAGATGAAAGAAAACAAAACAATAAAATAAGCAGCCACTGTAAATATTGGGACATTATTTTGACTGTCTGTATCCTGTACATATTGAAGCAACATTGAGGCAACAGAAGGAAAAACCACACCTAAAGTATGGATTTACAGATATAAACAATGAAGTTTTAGTTTTTTTAGCCTGGATGCTCAACAGCTACCAAGGTTATTCCTACACTTATATCCTCTTTCATTTCCTTTACAAGTTATTCTTTTGCTCATTAAACAAGCAGTAAAAGAGGAAAACAGAATATGTATCAGTTTTCAAGAATTTGTTTTCATAGAAAGGAAGGAAAAAAGAAACCTACTAGACTTTCTGTTTTGCAGAAGGAATTTCCTTGTTCTGGGATGTTTTTCTTTCTTTAAAAAAAACCCTAGCAATTTTTTGCAAAAGGAAATGTACAGAAGATCTATTTATGGACAAAGGTTTGTTTTCTTTCAATCTTGCTTTTTCATTGTACCTGTTTTAACTCTGGTAGATGCTAAAGGACTAATGAAACTCTTCCTATACCTTCTGAAAAGGCAACCTGATTAAGTCAGCACTGTAAATCAATGAAAGCAAAAAACTATATATAGTTTAACAATTCCATTTCTATGTGGTCTTCCAAAGATAATATGAATTAGTAGAGATTTGTGGATCACCTATTTTCTTCTTCAATAAGATATTTCACATTTTATAGAGTAAAGAATCCGGTAGTACTTTTTAAAAACAAACCTTGTTCTGCCCTTTAATTAGATTGCTAGTCTGCAAAGATGCTTTCATACTCCTTCTGATTTTTGGCTACCACAAGCTAACATAGCTTTCCTTCTACAAGGACATCTCTTATATGTCATTCTGCTTTGGTGAAGTGTCAGGATGGGATCAAGCACTTACTTCATTAATAGCAGTTGCTGCATATAGCAGACAGTTGCTCTTATCAAGGCTCAGTGAGGAGCAAAGAAAGTGTTTCCCCCACCCACCCATTTCAATAAGTTTCTTGTAATAAAATACTTTTTGAAAATCTGCCCAGTCCTGTTGATTGGGTTTATATGTTTTGTTTTGTGCCTTCCAATTGCTCCATTTTACACTGAACAGTACCAAGAAGGCTTTCTAGCACACAGATTCTCACTGGCTCAACAGGCTCCTGAATATAAATAGTAGTAATAACAGATTTGTAGAAGCATCAGACTTCTATTAGTAATATATATACCAGCAAGAGCAAAAGTGTTTTGGTTTATTTTCTTGCCTTCTCTCTGTTTAGAAATTATTATCATACTCTTCCAGCCAATGCTTTAAATTCATAGTTATAAAAGGGGGTTGGCCTAATTTTTTTATTGGGAAAAAGAAATTTAAAAATACTTTCTCTGGTTTGGCTATAGAGCAGTCGAGGTGTCTGAGAAAGTGTTATGAAGGCCAGTCAATATCAGAAATTAGATTGGTTATTATCACTATTTGATAATAATGAATCAAAGTTATTAAACTACAAACAGCTTAAATGGAAAGGTAGCAAGTTCAGAGTTCCCAATGCTATCTAGAATTTGCTCTGACATAATGTCTCAGATATTTTCTACATCTCTGTTGGTTCCTACTGGCATATTATGAAATATATACAATAAAGATATAGCAATGTAGGAATACCAGAATAGCTCATTGTCTTCATGTAAAACCTATTCTTCACATTTAAACAAATCTCTCATAGTCCTAGAGAATAGAGAAAGTTAGTATTGATATGTCTGAAGACCCTCTAACCGAAAGCTGGATAGTCTGTAACTGTCTACTGTTGTCCTCGACTTACAACCATTCTTTTAGTGGCACAGAAAAAAGTGACATGATTGTTTTTCCTACTTACGATTATTGCAGCATTTCCATGGTCATGTGATCAACAATTTTGATGCTTGGCAACTGGTTCATATCAGTGATGGTTGCAGTGTCCCGAGGTCATATGATCAACTTTTGTGACTTTCTAACCAGCAAAGTTAATTGGGAAGCCAACCATGTTACTAACTTAACAACAGCAGTGATTCTCTTAACAAATATGGCAGGGATGGTTGTAAAGTGAGGCAAAACTCACTTAATAACTGGCTTGCTTATCATTGAAATTTTGGGCTCAATTGGCAGGTTGAGGACTACCCATATTATTCTTTGAAAAGAAGCAAGAAATGTGTTTAAATTGTTTTGGAATTAAATAAGAATGTTCTGGTTTTCAGGTGCAAGCAAGAAATAAGAAAAAGCCCCACCAAAAGCACCTCCAGGGACAAACTGAAGAAATAGAATGAGTCCTTCTCTATTTTAATGATTTTCTTTTCTTTTCCGAGATTAACACATCAAACATGTAATTTCTAAATACAGCCCCAAAGAGAACACTTTATTTAGAGAACTTCCTGTCTCCTTGGGAGATATTGATCACAAACAAATGTTATGATATGATACCTATTTTCTGATAAAATTGATTTATCAATTTTGCATTTATTTGGTGTCATAAAGGTCTAAAAGTGCACATGAATAGCAGAACATTTGTAGATAATTTTAAAATAATTTAAACCATCATATCTATGCAGACAATAGCAGGGGTAAATCCTACAAAGATTAAGTATATTTCTGGTTTCTGCTTTCATTTAAATTTTTATTCTTAAAACTATCTGAAGAACAAATAAAATCCAGATTGGGATCCGTCCTAGAACCTAATTCCTATATGTTTTCAATATAATGTCTGCAACAAGACTATGTTTATTGTGAGAGAAGAAGCAGGATAAGTATTGTGAGAGAAGAAGCAGGATAAGGATATTCCTGTCCCTCTATGCACACTCATTCATTCAACATCACCTTAACATACCTACAGGCTCAAGGCCATAATACGACTTTCTAAAGTTTGCTGTAAGGTAGGGAAAATATCATTATTTTTACAATGAAATAGAAAAATTAAAAAAATAAATCCCAAGAAACTGGTTGTCTGAATTGTGCAAATTGAGCAGACTTACAACTAACTCAGCATTTTGAAAAAATGATAATGTGGTATTCCTATGCATATACACATGTGCTTAAAAGGAACACAATTTATCACTCTCCAGCTTTGTAGAAACATGAGACTTCAGAATAAATCCTGGTGCTTACTTTGCAGCTAGAAGGGCGGAAATGCATTACACAAAGCAGCTGTTGCCAACTGGGGAGCCATTTACTAAGTTTAACTATGCAGGAGCCTGAATTATTGTTTCAGAAGTTATGAAGGGGTAGTGTC